GACAAGGAACCATATCCCCTATTCCTGTTTGCATTTCTTTCTGGTGAACGCTAACGTTGAATTTGATATCGAACTTAGAGAGCCTTTCCCTTGGCCCGTGTTTTTGAGAACTTCCCAGAGAGACACAGGTGCAGACTCCTCGGCACAGTTTACCCCATGCTCTCATGATTGCTAATCGTTCTGCTCGTTGTTCCTGTTCTGTCAGACCCCAGAGGTGGGGCATCATTATTCAGGCCCGTTGGCCAGGCAGGAAAGCCTGTGCAGGACGGGGCACTGAACCTATGGAGTGTCGGGCACTCTCCAGCTAATGAATGCAGGCTTGCAAAAGAGTTTGGACACTGCTGGCATCCTTAATGGGAGGGTGGCTAATAGCTAACTCCTAAAGCTGTGCTCATCTACGCGCAGCCCTTAGAAACCAGGAAGCACACAACATAAACCTTCAGAGGAGCCCTTGTAGGTAGAGCCTCTCCTTCATGCATTCAGCAAGCACATTTTTGAGAATGTCTGTGCCAACCTCTGTTTGAGACACTAGGAATACAAAAGACAAAGGAGAGTCAGACCCTAGAGTCTACTTTTTATTGGAGAAACCCGCACAGAAACAGAAAATCATAAAACTGTGTGATAAGGGATGCACAGGGAAGTACAAGAGTCAGACAAGGTCACGGTCAGGAAATTCTTCATGGAAGCAGTGGGAACGACACGCTGTAGATCAAGGACTTGGTTTTGGAATCTGGGTGAATCAACCTAACAATGCCTTTAGGTCTCAAATAACAGAAGACCTAACTCAAACTAACTGGAGAAATTAAGTTAACTTTTTTCTCATCTAACCCAAAGTCCAGAGGAAGGGTCGTTTGATACAGGGTTTCACCATGTTTTCAGGACCAGGGTTCCATTTCTCTGCCATTCTTTCTACTGCGCTATCCTCCGCGGGTCAGCTTCTCGGGATGGCTCCCCTTGTGGAAACAAAACGGCTGCAGCAGATCCAGGCCTAACATCCACACCCCATATGATCCAGGTGACGCAGCATTCGAAGCCAGGCTCCTGGGACACACTCGGTCGGAATGGCCTAAGTCACGTGGGTGCATCCCATCTCATTAAGCCATTTTTCATCGTCTTAAGACAACTCTGCTGCGAGTCCAGGGGAGTCTCCTGGGCAGTGGTGTTCCATGTGATGAGTCGGGGATCCAGGCAGGAGCAGTGCCCGCCGTCCTGTAACTCCACTCCTGAAACATACAGCCTCCTGAATGAGAATGGCAAGGGAAGAGCCAGCTGAGAGTCAAACACTGCAAGTCAGATGCCACCCCCTGGCATGGGAGTGACAGCCAGCACTTCTGCTCACATTTCGTTGACTTAACGCAAGTCACGTGGCTGCACCTAACTTCAAGGGACAGGTGAGAGCCGTCTGTGCCTAGAAGTAGAGAACAGGGTGACGCCTCCTGCGACTGGAATTTCCGGGCTTCTCAAGCAGGAGAGAGAACCGCACCACGTGCCACGCCCGCCTGCCCCCTCTCTACCCAGTCCCCTCGATCCCGCTGCCACACGCAGGAGCTTGTTTCCAGAAGGGGAGGAGACTGGCAATGGAAAGATTAGCCGCTCCCAGGGTTCCACACGGGGATCAGTATTTTCAATAGTACTTTGTGAGTTCAGCCTCAAAGTAAATGGTTAATTCATCTTGTATCAACAGCACTGTGATTCATAATGTAAACTTGGAGAATCCTTGATGTTTCGGGCCCACATTCCTTTTAATTTGGCTCTGCGTTCTTTTAAAGCCACAGTGTGCTCACTTAATAGAATGCAGCATGCAAATGCACAAGTTTTTGCCCGGAGGCAATTTAGCCTGGCTGTTTCAATGGATGTCTTCTTTCAAGTGTATATTCTTTCTTAAATTATTTACTGGGTAAACACACTTTGCATTTTCAAAAGGGAGATTAAGACAGCTTGCTGCCGACCTAGCTGAACGTAAAGCCCCCGGTTGCCCAAAGTTAGAAAGAAGTTACTTCAGGCTTCCCCAAAGTTCCTTCCCTGGCTCGCTAGCTGGGAACCCCTCTCCCGGCTTGTTTTTCTGATTCTCTGCAAACTCCCTGTTCCTTTCTGCTTTGCCTACAGCAATACCTGCCAGCCGCCCCTGGCTGTGACTGTACTCCAGGCTTCCTCACAGATGGGGCCCGCCAATGCCAGCCTTTGTTCCCCTGCTCCGGGCTGGCTGGTTCCTATCCATTCACGGGCCCCAGCAGCTCCCTTTTCTGGTCCTTAGAGGCACCATATCAACCTATAACACCTTTGAGGTCCAAAGCTGGGTTGCTAGCCTGAGTCAAGCTTACTTCCAACTCTTGTCTGCTCCAACTCTTCCCCCACCCCCCCTTCTACACGCTTTGTCCTAAAGATCTGCCAGCCCTTGGTTTGAAAGCAAGTGCTCTCTCCTGCGCACATCCTCCACCGCCCGCCTCCGTTCCGCGAGGACCGTTCCTTCTCTTAGCTTCAGGGAGAAGACCCAGCAGCGCTCGGAGAAGGCATATGGCATGAAGTTGCCTCTTTGGGGGGTTTGCTTCAACTTGTAACTTCAGCCTTTTCTGTGCGGACTCCCTGCGTTTTTCCTGCATATTGAGTTTGCGCAGGTTTCTCCTCCGTTCACCCTTGAATGGACCCATTACAATTACAGGAGCTGTGTTCTTTGATGATCATCCTTCGGGTGGGTCTCTTTTGAGTGCGGTGTGCCAGCAACTGTCCTGTGTGTGCTGGGGCTGTAGAGGAGACGGCTCCGGGCTCCGGACACACCAAGGAGTGAGTGGACAGTTCGGTCTTTCTGAATGTCTGTGACCCCAGCAGAGAGGTCAGGCTCTCCTGGGATCGGTTATGTGCTGAGTGAATTAAACATATAAGCTGTGAAGAATGACTGTGGGGGAATCACACCCCTGTTGGCCTTGAGATGAGGGAAGCCCAATTTGGAAGGCCAGGGAAGAGCTGAGGATTCAGGGATTCCTGTGTATTCATTTTGCTAACCATGCTTCAGATTAAACAAGTAACACCCGCGGTTAATCCTTTATAAATTAGCATCATGGATGCCTTGGGGCCCTCAACCCACAAATAAAATGGTTGTCAACCGAGAGATACACTACCGTATATTACTTAAGGCAGAATTTTAAAGAGTTTTCATGCTTTTAATCTGTTTCACTGCTGAGTTTCAATTTTGCTGATTTCCTCTGCAAGTCTGACGCAGATGACTGTGGTAAATAGAGATTGTGACAGTGACTTGGGCCAACGGGATGTGTAGAGCCTGCTCTGAAGACTTCTGCCCCCTTCCAGAGAAGAGGGGGAAAAAATCAATTTGGGTTTTAAATCAAGCCACCAAGTAGCACCGATCAGTGTTCATAATTAGCCTCACTTTAACAAGGCGTGAAGTCCTGTTTCTATTTATTTATTTGGGGGACAGAGAATCTTCCTGCCTCCTGAGTAAATATGGCCTGTTAAGTCTGAATTAGCTGTCATGGCAGAAGAATTAATGTCAGGGCGCAGCCTTTCTAGTGGGGAAGGGAAGAAATAAACGAGACAGATCTTAGCTGAGCCTTCCGTGATAAATGAGGACCGAGCAGACCATTCATCTCCTTCGAGGAAAGTGGACACAGGCACTAAAGCAGTTTTGCGGAAGACGTGTCAGCAAATGTGATCATTTTGTAACCTGTCAGGAGGCAGGGATGCTAGTCCTTCCAGGGGGCCACGGGGGAGGGGGCTTGTCTGATGTGACCGTCTCTCCATCCATCCATTTAGGTTTGGAGAAGGAGGGGGTGGGCGAGGAGAAATCCAGCTGAAGCCACAAGGATGTCTTCCTTCCTTCCGATGAGAAAGAAACTCATCCGGAAGCTAGAAAAGCCTGTCAGCACCCTCCAAAGGTTTCTTCACAGAGATACAAAAGTAGGAGGGCAGGGTCTCCGTGAGACTAAGACAGCAGACCTTTTTCTGCTTGATATTTGCAGGAACAGGCCGATGGGATTTGCTGTGGGGTGTTAGGCACAGGGACGGTTGCCTCTACCGCCAGCCGCTCTATTGCTGTGGTGGGTTCTGTAGGAGGCTGGGTGGGGGGGGGGATGTGTGTGTGTCAGGCCACTTGACCTGGGTCCCCTTTGACAGTCTCAACAAAGCATTCTGTCACTCAACCCCTTTTCTCAGACTGAGCTAACACGCTGTGAGGCAACTTCATTGGAAACTCTCTGCAAGCATCTTGGAGCACGTGTCTCTGCTCTGGGTCTCCTCCTGACCTGCCAGTTCCCCGTCATTCACATTGGCTTATATTTGGGCCCCTGGAATCCCCAGAGGTGAGGGCCCACCAAGCAAAGCACATAAGGTGCTCGGGTACTCTGTAATTTTCATTTTCATCTCTTTTTTTTTTTTTTTTTTTTTTGTTACGGAGCAAACGTAACGTTTCCTCCTGGCGTAACCGAGCAGTGAGCCCCAGTGACAGATGACGGTTTCACAGCCTGAGCTGCGAGTTTGACACTTGCTTCTTAATCCTGTCCTTTTCTTCCTAAATCTCTCTTTTACTTTTCCCCAGGTATTTTTGTACAGGTAAGTACCTCACTGACATATGTTTCCTTGGAGTCTTTTACTTTAACGGGAAACACTGCAAAAAAAAAAAATGAGGCTTGTCTCACATTTTAAATTAAAAAGAGAAGCTCGTGTGGGGCCCTTGATCGCTTAAAGATTACTACATGGTACCCTGAGCCTGGAAAGCCATTTGATTCGCCTTAGCATTTCTCTGAGTGCCGCGTGACAGTCACCGCGTGCGTCGTTTCCTTTCCTCGTGCGTCGTTTGTAGACCCAAAAAGCTCGTGGGCGCACACATGCACGTGCGTACTCACGCGCGTTCACACTCAAGCCCCACACGGGGCTCCCTACCCCCACCTGCGAAACCGTCGTTTGATTAGCCAACTTGGTCTTGACTGGTCTTGGTCAGAAAGTCCTTCATTTATCTGTGATATTTTTTTTTTTCCTTTGCTCTTTCCTAGAATCATCCAGAACCGCATCCTGGTCGTCATCTTGGCCATCATCCTCGTTGTCACCATCCTGATGGCGATCACTTTTTCTGTCAGAAGACGCTGATGGATCTGCTCTTCCCTGATAAACAGCAACAACGGCTTGTTCTGAGTAATTAAGACAAAATGGTCACATGAATCATTCTTTTGCGCCGACAGGCCCTGAACGACCCTCCCTCTTTTCACCACTGTTCGGCTGAAGCACAGAGTGTAAAAATATTTTCTATTCCTGCTTGCGTGTGGGTCGGTTTCCTTTTCTAGGTTTGTCTTCACCCAGATTTGTTTTTTGTAGGAGAAGGTGAATGTTTATTTGCCTTTCGGTAATTTCATCTACTAACCAAAATAGCTTTGGTGACTTTCTTCCTTGCCCCGTGGACGTGTCAGGGGTCATGGTTTGGGATAGGGCACGATGAGTCAGTCGTGGGGCATCTGATGGGCTGTGCTGTTTGCCACACATCTCTTGTCTCCAAATTGCCCTTCTGTGATGTCCAAGGATAAAAATGCAGAGAAAAACAGAGGCTACAGCCAGTGACCCACTCCAGCAAACAAGCCCTGTTCCTACCCAGGCATAATGAATATAGTCTACCTGCCTGAGTGCTTTCATTGTAAAGGTGGATATTTAATGTCACTTGTGCAGGAAATTGACTTAGCACTTTCTCTGTTTTTCTATGCATGTATGTATATATATATATATATATATATATATATATATATATATATACTTTTTTTTTTTTTTACAGCCAAGAATATTTTTGCTGAGTCTGCCCAAGATCCACTTTTCATAACTTTGCTTACTGGCTACATGAAATATTTCCTTACCTCCCCCAAATCCCACAGTCCCTAGAATTTGCTGGCAAAGTAAGCCTTGGCACGATATTTAATTGTGACCCCCTCTCCCCTGACCTGTGTAAGCATCTCTGTATCCTTTCGGTTTTAATATCTGCACCGCCAAAAGCAGCCCTCATACATGCAAAAGGTCTGACAAGGTTCCCTCCACATCCATTCCAGTATGTAAAGAGAACATGAATATTTCAGGAAGAGCAAGAACATGAGTCCGTCAGTGTGAAATTTCAAATGTGATTATAAATATGGCATAGAGTCCTATAGGATGATTCACTAGAAATAAACTTTATGGAACATGTTCACTAACCTCCTTCAAAAGAATAGGGGGGTTGCAGCGTGTTACAAAGGACGGCTTGGATTTTCTACAAAAAAACGTTAGCACAGCCTTCCTGACTTCACTGTGTATTCAAACCTCTGACATGCTTTGTGATTGCTTTTGGTTTCTTTCTGTCCGAGGTAACCGGGAATTGCGTTCAAAATGAGTTCATTTATGATCAGGCTTCAAGTTGCCCAAGCTGAGGTCATTTCCCCCCTAGTCATAAAGCAAAATGTGTTTTCCTTAAGACTTCATTGGCATTTACAAGGTCCGTACTATCTTTTTGAATGTAATTGGAAGCTTTGAATCCTTGAAAAATCAGACCTGTTCTCTTCATAAAAAATACTAACCACCTGTGCCCAGAGATTGAGATCACCTGGATGGGGCACTTTATTTTATATTTTGCCCCAACTCCGAGAAGAACCTTTATGGTTTAGAGAGGAAATGCAGAATGGCAAAATCCACCGGAGAGATCGTACTTAGCAAAACAGGCCAGGGCCTGCGTGTGTCCAGATAAATCATTTAGTATTGTGTAAATAAAGCTGCAGCCTTTACTTTGCAGGGATCGTATGGGATTTTGGCAGGGGGAAGTAGGACGGTGAAGGAGTGGGAAGGCAGTGCTAATTTTCCTATCAGCTTAAGGGATCCATCTCAGCAAGGTTCTTTTATTCCGATAATGGATTTTGTACATGCTGAACACATTGAAGAAACCATTAAAAAGCAGGGGAACAAACAAACAACCTCCTTCCCATTCCAAAACACTAATGGTGGGGAAGTATTACACCGACCTCTCCGGTGGCTTCTTTGGAAACTGTTGATCTCAGCTAAAGCGGGTAACCAGTTATCCAGCTATATACGCCTCATGCCTCTTCCCAAGGCCACCCAGCAAGCCAGGTTGGTCTGATCATCTAAACCCGCTGGCTCCTCAATATTTCACTAACGCCTTGCGTTCATGTTGAAGTAGATGAAGTGGAGGGCGGGGGCCAGGGGCACTGCTTGCCTCTCAATGGCTTTTCCTTTCCAGTTCTACCTCTTTATCAGCTCTTGCCTGAGATTTTGCCCCGGTTCAACCTTGAGAGTGAGAGAATCTGACCAGATGACCCTTGGCCTACCAGCCCCATCAAACCCACCTTGAGAGCGGCCCCCAAGACCCGGGTAGTGAGCGCTCTGTGGGAGGCTGGTCTGAAGTCCCGACAATTCCCGCCTGGCCCTCCGGCTGCTGCAGGAGAAATTCGAGACCGGAGACACGGTTTTCTCCCCACTCCCCTGCTCCACTGGGGAAGGGAGAAAGCCCACAAATTCGAAGCAGGTCCTAGATCTGTGAAAGGCTCTGGGAACTTCCTATGTCGATTTTGCGGACCAGTTCTCCAGTTGAGAGCCTGTGCTGAAAAAATGAGGTTCAGTGGGAAGGTGGGGTGGGGGGTGAAGACGAAGAAACACCGAGGAGGAAGAGGAGAAGGAGGCCCTGGCCATATAAAATTCATGCAGACTAAACAGTTTCCCTGACCGAATAAAGTAAAGCGGATGCTACCCTGCTCCGGAATCAAAAGCAATTTAATTAAAGTCTCTTAAGTTGTAAAGAGTTTTAAATGTTCCGTGTTGAAGGCGAATGCCTGCATATGCGATGGGCCTGACGTCAGCCGCCAGGCCTGGGCTGGGAGGCCATTTGCTATTCTGTTTAAGGCAGGCTGGATTGTCTTATTTTGGAACCAGCTTGGTGGGGGGTTTGCTTTGCTACTGCTTCTGAGCCCTGAGCTTCAAAGGCTGAAATTAATGGTGAACAAAATTGTGCAGCTCTGACCGTCCCATGCGGGGCAAGCCCATTGAGGGTTATCATTAAGTAAAGAAATAAAGAGGGGGAAAAAAGCCTGCCTGTTCCAAAAACCTCATCAGATAATGACCTCAGTGATTGGATTTTCATTACCAAACAGCATCCAGAGATTATCTACCCCATAGAAGAAGGGGGGGGGGGGTTGGAAAGAAAGAAAGCAACTGTCTTTCTCTCCTTCTCTTTCTCCTTTTTTTTGCACATCTTTTCTTTAAAACTGTCAGATCATTTCAGTATTTCAAATCCGAGGAAAACAGCCTGCCTGCTGCTGTATTTGAAGTTCTAATGGTGTCAAAAAGTCACGACTGACTGACAGCCGTCAGTCCCAGAGGGGCTCATTAAATCATAAAAACTTGACAAGGAAATAATTGCGCATCGCCAGCAACTTGGCGCCTGTTTAGACGTTTTTATTTTCTTTCATTATTAGTCCCCACCATTACGTTCATTAACAAATTGCATTAAACAACTGTTAAGGGCTAATGATTTGTTTATCGCTTTTTATTATTATTATTACTTAAACATTAGCTGTGTCATGTGGTACCCTAGCAGCCTCTTGCCATCGTCTGACTGAATATTTTTCCACTCCGAGCTCTGGGTACTGTTGGAATATGAAATAGATTATTCATTACTCTCCTCTTTGCCACTGATTTGATTTCATGTAGCGTCTTCCACAGAGAAAGATGAAAACTTGTCAAAAATAGGTTATATCTTATTCGAAGGGGCAACAATAGCAGCAGGTACAGGCACACTTTAATATTTAATTAAGGTTGATGTTAACCCCTTTAAATGACTTTAGCTGTAAGTTCTATTCAAATGCAGAAGAGAAAAATAATTGTTCTTAATTTGCAACCTGTTCAGCAAGCATTCTTCCCGGAGTTAGCTGGAAATTTAGAGCCGAATTTTTAAATAATGAAATTCCCCGTCATAAATATTTATAGCCGTTTGTCTACGTAGTTGAGAATTAACTACAAGCAACGATTTCCTCGTCTCTCTGGTTTGAACTGCTAGCCTAGCAGGGCACCTGGCGCTTGGGAGAAATGGCTTTCCTGGGAGAAATGCACATCCAGAGCCAAGGACTGTTGGTTGGTTGTGGCTGGGGCTGGTTTCAGAGGAACCTCTGTGAGTCCCTTGTTTCTGGCCCACTTGTCTCCTCCGCTAGCTGAGTGTGTGGTTGGAGGACTGTGGTCTGGAGAGTAAGTAGGGCTTTCTTAAAGGAGCACTTGTGTGTCCAGTCGGCTGGTGTGGGGAGGGTGTGATGGGGTGTCCGGGGCGCCTCTGTGTAGTCAATGAGCTCATTGCTTTCCTAGTAGACAATAGGAGCCATGCTTTGCTGGGATTGACCTTCCGTCTTTTTTCCTTTCTGGGACTTGCCACCGGTGAGATCATCAGCTTTTCCGTGGGCTCTGAGCTGGAGGGGAAAGGTGCCATCTTCATCCCGAGTCTGAAGTCCGTGGCATTCTCCGTGCCGCAACTGCCGGCTGCCTTTGGTCACCCTGTTTGATTCGATAAGTTTCACATAGGCAGAGAAGCGCTCTCAGAGGCCTGGTTCATTGGTATGTCGGGGCTGGGGTGTGCTGGTCAATATCAAGGAACAAGGAGTACTTTCCTGCCGGCTTGTTTTCCTCCCACCCACGCATCCTCAGAAAGACAGACTCCTTGGGCAGCTGCTCCATGGATGTGAAGGGGAGAGACGGCACACGTCCCTCGCTCAGCCACCACCTCTCAGCATCACCCACCAAAGGACAGACAATCCAGTAGGAGCCGCGGCATGGGAGGGGCTCATCCAGCAGGCACGAGCCACGTGAGGCCAGCCCTAAGCCTCATAGATCACCGTGGGCATAGAAACAGCAGACACACCAGGGCCTGGGGCGGTCTCGAGCTTCCATTTCAATCTGTTCCAAATTAGCCACATGACAACTCGCCACCTTCAGAACGGACTCCACACCTCAGCAAAAGACACGCTCAAAGTCGTTTTTCCAAAAGGAAGGAAGGCTTTGTGGTAAGCCATCCCCAGTCTGACTCCCAAAGACACTGGTTGCCTGAGATGACATGCCAGCCCTCAAACTTGACTTCGTCCTCTGCTATAATTCATCACCTTAAACTAAATTCCAGGGAACATTCTTGCTTACATGGCTTTGCCTGTAGCCCATCGCGCTCAAACCAGTGCTGTCTGCCAGGGGCCATCCACATTTTATGAAAAGTCGGGTAGCTCTTAGACAACATGTCAGCCTTTTTAAAATGGGGCAGGTGACGGTGTGGAGAGCTCAGAGAAGTTTTTAAAGCCACAAGCAGTGCATCCGAGGAGGGAGACCAAGAGTGGACCGGCACAGGCAGGAGAATATTTGTGTGTGATTGGAACCAAGGCTGGATACAGGGTCCTGAAATAGGTGATGGAACGAGAGTCAGCATCCTCTTCTGTTGTAGAGGAGGGAAGACACAGGGGTTGCCGAGAGAGACTGGCCGTGTCCGTTAGGATTCCAGGTCAGCAATAAGATGAATGTTCCAAAGCCAGCTTACCAGAGGCACATAGGGCAAAAACAAGATGGTGGGGCAGACCCAAAGTGACACGACAAGGGGATTGGGAATGTGTGAGGAGGTGAAGAACAGATGGTCCATAGGTGAAGGATGGATTCCCAGCACCAGGGGAGAGGCAATGGTGAGGGGGGCTCATCCCGGGGGGGGTGGGGGTGGCAGTCAAGAGGGAGGGGCACGGGCATCAAGGCCCCGCTTTGTGCCACCCTGGGCCCATTATCGGTCTCCTTCAGGAGGAGCCAAAGGAAGGGAAAGGCAAGGTGCCTATCTCCCAGGACCCCGGCCCAAATCACACACAACCCCTGTTGTCATGCCTCAAGGAGCTCCCAGCATGCTGTGGGAAAAGCACTTCCTCATCCTGAATCACCTCATTACTCGTGCTACATAAATAACGAAGGCATCACAGAGAGAGGGGGAAATGCCAAGCAGCAGAGCTCTAGACTGTGATTCTGTGAACTCGTGCACCCCCTCCTTCCCTTCATCCAAACAAGGCCCTTTGGCGTGAATAATAGCTCAGCGGCCCCGAAGCCCATATTGATCTGTTGCACACACAGCTCCTCTGAGAGCTGCCTGGACTTTTCCTGGGGGCAGGACAGCACCGTTTCAGTGCAGCGCCCTCCCTCCCCCACCTCCTCGGCCTCCCCAGGTGTGCTCAGGAGGGGACAGTACGGGGTGGGGGGGGGGGAGGGGGAACAGGGGTGGCCAAGGCCCTTCTCCAGCCCAGTGCTGCTTTGTTGCCTCAACTTTTTTGTTTTTGACTTATTTTGCCGAGAAAAGTACCTGAGTTGGAGAGAAATGGTGTTGTTTTGTTTTTTTTTTTTTTACATGATGAGGCCCCAAAGAGTGGAGAATGAAATACATCCTCGGGCTCCAGCTTCTCTCCAGAAGGTTCTGCCAAAGACCCAGGCCACAGAGGCACCCTCAGCTGACACTTACGGAGGCCTACTGCATGCCGGGCACTGGGCTAAGCGCTTTGGATGCCAGACTGCCCGTTCCTGTTAATTTTCTGTCTTAACACCATCAGAAGAGAGGAGCCGAGGATGTGGCTAGAATCCGTCATGTCTTTGGGGGATGGGGTTGTTGTTAAATTCAGTAGAGAAGCATCAGCCATTGGATGCTAAATGCGCAGGGCCTGAAGCCCGCCAGCCCCACACCCTGAGGCTGCAGACACACTGTCCCCCCTCCTTGTTCGCTTCTCTTTTGGACACAGCAAGTGACCCAGGCCTTGGCCCTCCAAACCATGTACAGTTGTACGATGAGCCAGGTCTCTGCACAGGGACACCCTGTGGGCTGGTGGATGCCTGAAATCCCACCCTTAAAAGCCCATGCCTTTGATGTCTGACCTCAAACCCTGGAAAAAATGCAGGTTCCTTTTCCTCCGGTCAGCTGCGGCCCCATCAACCACTGATCCTTCTGGGTGAATTGTCTGACCCTCTCCTGAGAGCAGATTTCGGATCCAGGGGAGGAAAGACCCACCATGGGAGGGAGCAGTTAGTGATCTTTGGGAGAAAGGGTAGAAGGGAAGGAGACCTTGGCTGCCTGGTGGTTTCTCTTGGGATCAGCTGCCCTTTGGGGTAATGAATGGGTTGCCGGGGGCACAGCCTAACCCCAGAAGCCCACACACATCCTGGCCAGGGCTCAGGACCACTCAGGTCAGAGACACATGGGCTCTGCAAAGGCCAGATAACTGTTTGAGGGTCCCCTGGCACATCCCACAGCAATGCCTTTGTGAGGAGGAGGAAGAGGAGGAGGAGAGAACGCAGGAAGGAGGTCGGGGGTGTGGTGGAGGGATAGTTAGAACAGTAGGCAGGGGGTTCCAGCCAATTGCTTTCCTTGCGGAGCTGCTCCAGCCTGCTCCCCCACCCCCACCGGCCCTGCTGACATAAGAAGAGGCCAAGGCTTCACAATGTACAATCTGGCATTTGGGGAAGAGCCCCGGGCAGCCCCTCCCCACATTGCCGCATCCAGGGGTCTCCGCATAACAGGGACACGGTGACCCTCAGAGCCTCTCTCTGCTTGATTTCCATCTTTTCTTCATCCATGCCCACCACCACCCCACCCCCCACAAGAAACTACAGAGCGAAGAGACAGCTAGGGGCTTCAGTGGGCTCACTGCTGTCCCCGACAGGGTTTCTGAACAACCGAACCTCTCCCTGTTTGAAGTGTGAGAGGTGTAATCAGGTTTATTCATCTAGGCAAAAGATATTTATTGCCTATCGACTTACTGTTCCAGGGCCCAAAGACACATGGTGGAGAAGCTAGGTAAGAACACAGAGCTTGTGTCATCCCACGGCCCCGGGGGCCATGGGTAGGAAAGTAGCTTTCATTCCCAGAGCCCCGACTTGCTATCTAATCTCAGGCAGGTCACTGTCAGGGTCTGAAAGGCACATCGCGCTGTCCATGCCTCTGCCACCTGCCACTGGTGCCCCTGAGGTTAAAGCCCCATCTCCCCGAATTCTCGCAAAGCACTCTAGTGCTGTGTGTTCGTGCCTTCTTGCAATTTCCAGGACTACGTGTGCAAAATGGCCCCGCTGGAGTAGAGTGGGGTTGACATTTGCCTGCAAGTGGTTGAGTCCCCATCAGCACTGGCTTCATATCCAGGACCAGCCCCCGAGAGGCAGGGAACAGGAATGGGGACCCTTTTTAGATTGGGACTGACTTAGAGGGGTTTTTTCCTTTTTCTTTTTTCTTTCTTTCTTTTTTCTGCTTATTAAATGATAAAGGTTTGACTTGGCAGGCAATCAGAAACCCAAAATATCATAAAAGGGAAAAAAGTTGCCGAGTGGCTAAGAGGTGCACCACGGGAGTGTCACTGGGCTCAGCGGCGAGGTGAATTGCTGAGCGATGGAGCAGGAGACATTTTTCAAAGGCTTCTCTCTCCTTCTTTTCCTCTCTCTGTCCCCCATGCAGAAAGGGGAAAACAGAAGCAGAATCCAGATTTGGGCACG